GGGGGCGGCCCGAGCGCGGGGCAGCAGCCGCGGGACGTGCCCGCGCACCCGCGGTACCCGTTAGGTAGCGCAGGGCTTGACTGGAGCTGAGCGTCAAGAATCCTACGCCCATGGCTATCCCTAAGGGTATTTTCTGGCATACTCGAGAGTCTTGAGCTGTTTCTCATCATGCTTTTGAAAATAAGGTGTAAATTTAAAATACTGTAATCTTTCTTACTGTAACTAATTTAGGAACTTTTTTTTTTAGTTTATGTCGATAACCATAGATAACGTCAATCACAGATCTTACCTGTGTATTTATCACTATTACTCTTTATCACTTTATTAATTTCATTGATATTATAATATTAATATTCCATTAGTATTCTTGGTTTATAATAATCATTATTCAACATAAATTCTCTTTAATTAATAAAACTTTCATTCTTTAAATACTGGGTTTACAACCCTATTTGCTTTCTCCTATAACAAATAATTAGTTCTGTTTTAAATAATCTTTTCATCTACCTATATCTAAAAGGTCCTACTTGTTCCCTGATAACCTATTTAACACAACAGAATTTGCAATTGGGTTATGATACCTCTTTTACATATATCTTTCCCCATCTCATTTAATTAATGAGTACAGATTCGTTTCTTAATTGCCTGTTGCAAAGGAATGCTGTTGTCCCTCTAATCCGGGGCTCTCAGTTGGCCATTTTACTAACTCTTGCTGACTCATTTGGTTATACAAACTTAATTCAAATAAGTGGAGCAGGAAATGTTGGTACAAGTGCATTAAGCCCCAGCAAAATGACAGTGTAGTCCGGAGCCCAACTTAGCCAATACTACTCACATGGAAAAGCTTGTCAGCTTAACCCAGCAGCACATGTTCCTGGGGGCTTTCTGTTTTGTTTTGTTTGTTTTCTTGGAAAGCCAGCTCTACAGGGCCCTCTAGGTCACCGCAATTACTAGCAAAGGAGGTTTGCTGAATCAGGAATGATTGACCAATTATGGCTCGGGCAAATTTATTTACTGCATCTGTGGAATGGTCATTCCAGGTCCAAATAACATCCATTTTGGAGAGGACCGTGGTGCCTGTAAAGAAAGAAAAAGTAAAATGAAATCACAATGATACCACGTCAGACCGAAGGAAGACTAATATCTATTACCAAGAGGTAGACATCTGCATCTTTGCCTTTCCTCTGTTAATCTGTGGGCTTGCCCCCGTTCAACAGGAAATGTTTCTAAAAAGGCAATTTTGCTTTGACTAAAGCTGGCTCCGTGTTGTGCCATGGCAGCTGTGCCAGCTGGGGACAGCTCGCTGAGGAAGTCCTGGCTTGCCAGGGGACTAATTCTGGCAGGCCTCAGCCTTCCCCGGGCAGACAGACCTCACTAGAGCAACCAGATGGCCCTTGAACTCAGAGGGCCCAGGGCCAGGCCAGGATGCCCAAAGGGAGCGTCCCTTTGGCCCTGTCCTGCTGCTGCAGATCCTGCCAGCTTTGGTGGCAGGGAACTCCCTGGCTCAGCTCACCTCTGTCAGAGCTGGCCGATCTGCCAACAACGAAATAGAAAAGTAGCAGCCATGCCTCCTGCTCAGCCCAGCATCCAACAGCGAGACAAACACTCCCGTTCTTACGAAAGCCGGTTCCTTGGGGAGTGGAAAAGCCTAACTTTGCTTAGGGGACAGTCCTGGTAAAATTTATTTGGGTCTATTTTCTTAGTCATCCCACTGACCAAACATGATACATTTTCTTTGTTCTTTTTTCTTTTTCTTTTTTTTTCCTTTCATGACACTAATAGGCTCTGGGCAGCATTTTTTTAAGTGCTTCACCACAAGACAAAGCAACCCAAGATACCTTTTCTCAGACATTTCAGTACTGATTCGTGTTGCTCGGTATTAGAGACATGGCCGACATTTTTGCCATTTATTCGAGCAATACTAACCTAAAAGAAGTTTGTTTTTCTGGCCAGCTCATTTACACTTCATAGTGTCTAGGGCCTTTCTACTTCTACAAAAGCCCAGGCTCTGCTTCCGCAGGAGAAGAATCTGAACAGGCAGGAATTGAGCCAAGGCCCTGGATAAAAGCACAGACTCTGATAATGCAACTCACCTTCTTGACTTCAGCTGATGGCTCTAGGCCTGGAAGCAATAGGAGCACAGTTAAAATAAAAAATGCTGCATAAGGGACCTGTAAAGTTTGGATAGTAGGGGTAATAGCACTAGAGGAAGTGGAGTCTGCAACAGGGAAGGAAACAAAACTTAAGTGACTTTAATGTCAAATACATGCCTCATGTATTTAAAGAGTTTTATTGCTTTTGTTAAACCAGTGTGTCCTGGGGAAGTGAAGGGAGATTCCGGAAACCAGTGATTTGACAGGTCAGCGCGTCCATGAACAGACACCAAAGGAAGCCAAAGGAAGGGGTATTCATTTTGGGAGTCTGCAGTGGCCTCCTAGGGCTCACTGGGGAGTGGAGCTTTGCAGAGATGAGTGGGGCTGAATTTGGGAAATGCTGGGTTCCCTTACTCCTCAACAGTCACAGGCAACAGGGGACCATGAGCGCCAGGACTGCTGCTGAGAGCAGCTCCCCACAGGAGCCCGGGAGGAAGGGGGGAGGCAGCTCCATGGCTGCAGGCACGGGCAGCCGTGGGGCAGAGCAAAGCACAGTACATCCCTACCTGCATTCACACTGCTTGTGCGCCAGGAAGTCCATTTTGACCATGGTGCGCTTTCTGATCCCTGGAGAAATCTTCACGAGCTGGAGGGGTAACAGCAGTCACTCCCTAGCAGTTCAGGGCCAGCCTTTTTGCTAGGACTGCAGGGAAGATTTTGGACAGGGCTATGGGAGGCCAGCTCCCCAGGCCTGGGGAATAGAAAGCTGAATGACACCTCTCCTCACTGCTTTAGGAGGGTTTCTGCTTTGTGCCACAGCAGTCCTGCACACCACCACACCCCCTTGCCGACATCCGCATCAGCCTCTGGGTTTGAACCAGCAAGGGCTCGAGCCGTAGCTGCGGTCAGCAAGGCGGATGGGATAAGGAGGGGAAGCACAGAAGGGGGGGAGCCGGAGTCATCACCCTTTGGTACCCCGAAGGACTGGCCTCTGAGGAGGAGCCTCATGAAGGGAGAAGATAAATATCAGACATGATCTCTGAGGCCCATTAACCTCTGGACTTCAAGTTTCCTATGGCTGTTCTGCCTGGAAGATGTTAAATTCTAGGATTATTATTAGACCAGCCTGCCAAAGAACCCATTGCCTTTGTGGTGGGGAGGGAACTTCCAAAGCAAAAACAACAAATACAAATAATGGGGAATGGAGTGAAAGCTGCCATTTTTTCTCACAATCTGCCTAAAATACCTGCATGAGGGCTGGCAGGAGCACAAAGCTCACTGGACACCGCAGATACTGCTCACTGAAATAAGCACAACTTTATAGGGATGAAGAATATTGTTAATTACAACAACAAGAGTTTAGGAACTCAATGCTTCTTTCTTTGCACTGAGATTCACAGGAAACCTGGAACAACATGCCTGGAAGAAGCAGGAGGAGGGGAGGCAGTGCTCAGCCAGTATCCCGGGATTGGGAAAGCCAGACGTTACCTTTAATGCCTCTCTAGGCTGATCTCCTCACCACCATTTCTGGAATACAGCCCCAGAATGACAAGATTTTTGCTCTAATGTAACGTGGAAGCCAGCTTGTGTTTCGTCTTCCCTGTATGCCTCTTTCCTAACCTTCTTGCTGTAGCTCTGGCTCTTTAAGCTTTTTTAAACAGACCTTTGCCCCGTAGTGCTGGGAGACGCCGAGAGCCGTTGCACACTGATAACCTGGTGGCGCCCTGCTCCCATGAGGCAGCCCTTGCGCTCAAGGGCTGTGCACCAGGAGAAGGACGTGTGATCTGGTAGCTCCAGGGCTGTGGGGTTTGCTGCCTGCCCGCAGAGATTGGCATGGTGCTGTTCTGCTCACCAACGGCTTTGGGATGGACTCTCCCCCACCGTCCTTACAAGGCCACCAGTGAGCAGGTTCCCACAGCTGTGCCACAAGAGACCCTTACGAGCCTGCCTCTTACCTTCATAGTGACCGTCTCCATCTCCACAGGTGTGCAGAATTTCCCTGTGTCTCCACAGCAGCCTCCACAGCGTTTCACGGCGACACAAGAGGGTTTGAAGATGTAGTTGGCCTCATCAGGGTACTCGGAGTAAACATCCACAGTTGTGAGGAAGGGCTGACAGTAGCTACTTTTGAAAACTTCCAAAAAAGGCACATCTGGAAGAAATGCAGAAGGACAAGCTGGCACTGGCCAGCCCTGCTCTCCCTCTCATGAACATAAGCCCCAGACTAGAAAGCTTCCAGGTGCCTCCCCAGCTGGCACGCCTGTATCCAACTGCTCCTTCCTGTCCTGTCTCAACAGCCACGTCCCAGTGAGGACAGTGAATGAGTAGCAGGGCTATTTTTCACCCACAGATAAGGATAAACCTGGCTCTGGAAGGAGGCTTCCTCTTCCACCAAGCTGTTTGAAGCTTATACAGGCTCTGGAGACCCCAGAGATGGAGAAGCCACCTCCAGGTGCAACCCCCACCTCCCACCTGTGCTGGCGGGCAAGACTGTGGGGTAGCTTCACTCTGGGCTCTCACAGCACCAGAGCTGGGTCACCCACGCAGACAGGTAACGCAGGTAAGGACTCACCGTGCTCTCTCAGAGCAGCATCGTCATGCGGCTCGTCCTCCTGCTGGGGACGGAAGCACAGAGCAGTGAGTGGCAGGGCTGGCACTGCAGGTGGAGGGCAGGGAGATCCCTGGGTGCAGCTCAGCCCCCGCCACACGCCATCTTGACCCCCATATCACTGTCCATGACCACCAGGAGAGTGTGATGTCCTGTGGGACATGCCTGGCTCCCCAGGGTGCTCTGGGGTGTCCCTTTGCTGACAGAGGACATTCCTCCTCACAGGAGATCACCCTTCCCAACCTCCCTGCTTTGGCACCAGACTATCGAGGCAAAGGGGTCCCATATGTCTTCCTACACTCCTTTTCACTCAGGCTGAGTCCCTCTGCAGAGCTGGAAGACCCACATTTCATGTCTCTGCCTCCAAAACAGGATAAAACTGGCTGTTATTTATTATAGCCTGACATCAGTCTCTACTCTTGAACACAAGGCTGGGAAAAAAGGAAAAAAATTGAGTATTGGATCCAATACAGGGAGAAAAATGTGTATTAGATCCAGTTCTCAAATAATTTTGATGCGACACCTTTACAGCCCCTCTCTACAGCTCTTCCAACATGTTCCTTTTTCACCTTAGCTCTGAAGAAGGTCTCCCAGCCAGCTCTCCCTGCAGGCAGGGAATGCCCTTGCCCAGCTTGACAGTGCTTCATGGTGCAGCTGGGTTGTTGTGCACACACTACTTGCAGCTCGGTGCTTTCGTACTCGCTCAGGGCTTCATGCAGGGCCTCCCTGAGGGCCTGAGTGTTCCCTTGCTGCAGGCAGTAGATGCCCTCCTGGCATCTCCCCCCCCGGCCGGCCAACAGCCCTGGGTTGCTGCACTGGCCTGTGGGACTCTGCTCACAGGTGCACTGGCCAGGGGAGCAGCTGCAGGCAGTGTCATCCCCAGGGCCAACAGCTCCGCTCCTCTTGGTGGAAGCTACCTGTGCACCCAGGTTTGGGCTGGCGCCGCTGCGGGCCTGGGAGAGCTCCCCAAACAATGCAAGCCCAAGCCCACGCCCAAGCAATGGGTTGTGTTTCAAGCCCTGCCATGAATTTTCCCCAGTGATGGCCACTTTGGAGCTGTCCCAGATGGACAAACTGCAGGCTGGGGAATGAGGGGGTTCTCATGGACCACCCAGGAGCCTCCCCTCCAGACAGGAATGAGGGATGAGGCAGGGAAAGGAGCTGCTCCTCACCTGGGTGTATGATGCCTGCAGCAGCCCCAGGGTCACAAGAAACATCAGGAAGGTGCTCAGACTCATCAGGTTCCCCTTGCTGGTGACGCCTCTGTGAATATCTCCTGAGCGCAGTCCTGGAGCCGGAGGTAGCTGTGAGACCTGGTAATGCTGACCCCAAACGTCTTGTGCTGGTGGTGCCTCTTCTGTTCCTACAGTGCCCCATCTGCTCCTCTTATGGGCTGCAGCAGGAGAGCTGCCCATGCCCACCCGGTCCCTCCCAGACACCCACGTCCCTCCTGCCCACGCACTGCTCCCAGCACATCCTGCGCCCTATGCTACATACCCACCTGGCTGCGGCAGCCTCAAACTCTGTGTTCCCCTTGCTGTGGGGTCTGCATGCCGCCTTGCACCACCACCACCCAACACTGAGGGCACTGCCGGGCGGATTGAGCGGGGTCACCCGTAGGAGCCTGCATGCCTATACCCTCTGGAACACTCAGGTGTATGGCCCTGTGCCCACATGTGCCTGGGCGCTGCTGGATCCTGCTGGGGAGCAGAGGGTCTTTGCTGGACGTGCTGTTCCCTGGCGAAAGCAGCCACACGTCCTCAGTGCTCCCCTGCAGTCCAGATGCGTGGGTGACTTTGGCAGCAGCAACGCAGCTCGTTGTCTTCAACCTGGCTCCATCAGGGGAACGCTCTGTCCCCTACCGCCCAGCGCAGAGGAGGGACAGAGGGACACGGAGCTGCATTTAGAAGCGGCAGACAGGGACTTGGTCGTGTGCTGCCTCGCAGGCGCCGGGTACAGGCTGGGGGTGCACAGCCCCAGGCATTCCCAGAGGAAGTACTGGGCGTAGAGGGGCCTTTGTGAGAGAACCAGCTCTCTGCAGGCCTCAGCACCGAAAAAGGGGATTTCAGGCATCAATGGGGCAGGATTTGTCTAAACCAGCACAGAGGGAAACCTGGTAAAGAGCATCAGCCTGCCCGGCCAGTGAGAGACAATGTCCTTCAGGCTGCTGGGGTCACTCGCGTACCTAAGGCAGGAGATCGCAGCCCACCAACTCACCCCGCAGGGAGGCACAGGCAGATCCCAAGGGACGTGGGGTGGGATGTGACCATCCTCCAAGTCTGCTGGCTTCGAGGCTGCTCCACGCATGCTCCTGTGTGGGGCTGGCACAGGATTGGGGGGCAGCACTGTGGGCACCGCATGTGATAACTGCTGGAAGAGCAGCTCTGAGGGAGGTGGTGGTGGCTCTGAGCTGTATCAGGCACCCAGAGACAGATCCCATCCCTTTGGCACCAACCTTTCCACTGCATCTCTCCCATCTCTTTCTCTCCATCATGGACGCATGGTCCCACCCCCACAACCTGCTCCTCAGGCTCACACTACCCTGCAGCTGCAGATGCTGAGGGACAGGGAAGGGACGACACTAGATAACTGTGCAAGGCAGGGGCTCAGCTGTGCTGGCACTGTGTGCTTGCCCAAAGGTTCTCAGTGTTAAGTGATAGCCAAGAAGACTACACTGAGCACTGGATGGTATTAGGAAATGCGACTGGGCTTTATATACACACACACACACGCACACACACAGAGGCACGCTAACAACCACTCTTTATATATATTTTTTAATTAACATCCTTGCTTTTAAGTGGATTCCATTTGAAAGATTTAATATGATCATGGTAAATTTTGCAGAATAAAACCAAGACAGAAACCACCACTGTGGTCCTGCACGAATCCTTGTGCCCCTCAAGCTGCGGGCATAGCTCTCAGCACCTTCAGTGCACACCTCTGAGGCTGAAACAGCACACAGGAGGCAGGAGCCTGCATGGAGCAGGGAGCTGACCCAGGAAGGGCCAGAGGTGGGGGAGCCATACGGCCTGTGCTGATGCAAGCGCGTGGGCAAGGGCGCAGGCAGTTCCCATTACCCACCCCACAAGCCATGAGGTGCTCCGTGACCCAAGTGGGTAGGCACTTAACACAAAGTTGTTAAGGCAGAGCACGTTTACTGGGAAACTCCGCCCCAGGACAGTGTGTAAATGGGCTCCAAGAGGCTCAGAGCAGGCATGCCCAGCACCTCATACAGGCCATGCTGCATGGTGACAGCACAGAGCTCACCCACCTCCAACACCCACCCCCAGCTTCCCCAGCAAGGGCCTGACCAGCCCCACATCCTCACGCTGCAGCCCCAGGGCCTGGTTGCTGGTGTCCTGGCTGCGCAAGAGCTTGGGGACATGGATGAAGAAAGGTAGAAACAAGGGCTTGGGCAAAGCTGGGACTACCCCCATCCTGGGGAAGCCATGGGGGTTGCCACAGCCCCAGGGAGGTGCCTCACACCTGGGGCAACCCCAAGGAAAAAGCAGGCTCCACAGCCACCCTGATGGAGGGACACCACCACCCCTCACAGCCCCAGAGGCTCTTAGTGAGAGAGGGGCTCCCCCAGCAAGCCAGTCCCATGGCAGACCTTGCAGGTAGGAGGAGGGGGGGTGGATGGATGAACCTTAGTGAGGTATTTCTTGGGTGGATGAGCCCCACAGGGAGCTTGGCTGCTGCTGCCCCAAGCTCAAAACCAGCTAGCCAAGAAGAGGGATGGGAAAGCCTCAGGGTAGGAGCCCAGGCCTAGTAAATGTAGGAGCTAAGAGACAAAAGGTGAAAGGGAAGGTGAATAGAAATGGGGGTGCCTGAAAGGAGGAAGAAGAGAACAGACAAAGGAAAACATGCTGGGATCAGCTCTCAGCTAGTTATTTAAACTGGGGTCAGAGCAGGAAGGGACTGGCAAACAGGCATAACACCAACATCTCAAGGCACTGCCAGGCTCCCTCAAAGCTCCAGACCAAGCACTAGCCCCAGCCCAGGCAGGGGATCTGTCCTGGCTCACTACTTACCCTAACTCTAAATGTCACACCAAAAGCAGCCCCTTGAGCACTGCAGGTCTCTGCTTTGAGGCCAGCCCTTGGGGCATAGTGAAGTGTCTGCAGACCAGGACTGACCAGAAGCTGGCAGAAGAGAGCTTTGTATCTGCCAGAAAGGAGAGGGACTGCTCAGGCTGCCAGCTCCTGGCTCTGACATCCAGATTTTATTGAGAACAGCAAGGCTGGGACGTGGCTGTGAGCACACCAGGGCCCGGGCGCTCCCCATTTCCTCCCTTCCCCACCAAGAGGGCTGGGCTTTATATACCCTCTCCCAGGCCATGTCCTCTCCCAGGCTTTCCCCGTGCCAAGGCTTTAGCAGATGCAGCCTTGCCTGGCCTGGGTTTCCTTCCTCTCCCAGCTGTGCAGCAACTCCACTGCTGCTACCCTCGGAGCCAGCTCCCTGGGTCACATCACACCCACCCCAGGCTGCTCCCGCAGCACACCCGCCTGCCCCCCACACTCCCCTCGAGCACAGACGTGCACCTCTAGCTCCTCATCCTCGCCCCCCAGACCCGGTGAGGCCTCCTTCTGTCCCTGCAGTGAACAGGGCGGATGGGGACAAGGGAGAGTCTTCAGCTCCAGGGCCACGCTCCTGCCAGGAGCAAGAGTCCGGTGGGCCCCTTCCTGCCAGCCGCTCCCTGCAGCGGCCGCCCCCCACACTCCCCTCGAGCACAGACGTGCACCTCTAGCTCCTCATCCTCGCCCCCCAGACCCGGTGAGGCCTCCTTCTGTCCCTGCAGTGAACAGGGCGGATGGGGACAAGGGAGAGTCTTCAGCTCCAGGGCCACGCTCCTGCCAGGAGCAAGAGTCCGGTGGGCCCCTTCCTGCCAGCCGCTCCCTGCAGCGGCCGGCGCTGCCCTGGCTGCACAGGAGGGCACAGCTCCGTAGGTCCGACGCGCTGGGCAGAAACGCGACTGGCTCAGACCCCAGGAGCGGGGCCGCGGGCACAGCGGAGGCTACCTGCGCGGCAGGTCACATCTGCAGAGAGAACAGCACGGCGTGAGCGCGGGGGCTGCACACACCACAGACAGGCCCATGCTCACTCCAGCTGCAAGCGCCCAGGCTTGGGCCCTGGGCCCTGCCACTGCCCAAAGTCCCTACCCCAGGGCTCAGAGCAGGGAGAAGGTGACAGGGCTGTGTTAGGCCTGGCATGCTGGGATGCAGGTGCTGACTGAGCCCTGAGCAGTTAAGTGTCACACAGCAGGGAAAAAAAAGACAGCACGAAAGCACTGGCTGCAGGCTCTATACCCCAGAAGTGTCCACAGCAACAAAAGTCCAGGATAGACTGCTGCACCAAGAGGCTCGCACGGGTCAGCTAAATACAAGGCCGGAAAGGACAGAGTAACCCAAACAACGGCTAGCCAAGGACTGCAGTAAAGACATGGCTGGCAGCAAGATGAAGCTGAAACTGGAAATTAATGGATTAAAAGAGTGGTCTGTGATGGTAATTTACCTACATATTATCATCCAGTGCACCCATCCCCAAAGATGGGCAGCTTTGAGCATATGTTGAACTCTCAGTAAAAGATCCATTCCCCAGCCCCCTGTATTGCACCACTATTCACAGCATCAGTTAAAGACCTAAGAACTTAACCATATACTCCAGCCCAAGAGACACCACCCATGCCTGCCCCTGCTCACTTACAGTTCACAGTCTTTACGTCTCTTCTTGTTTTGTCTTCTCTTACCTCGGCCCTTCGATCTCCTCCTGCAAAAGGAGGAAGGAGCACGTGAGGTTGACACACAGGAAGCGAGAGGCAGCACCCTTGCCTGCAGCATCGCACCCAGCACCACTTACCTCCCGAATTTCATCGGGTCCTGCCGCGGCCTGGAGAGAAAGGACAGAGTGAAGGGAGGTTATTTGGGCAGTACTGTATATTCTGCTTCTTTGGGGATGGTCTATTGCACCACACATTGAGGCACGTCAGTCTACATGGGTAACGACTCAAGCTTAAACTAGACCCAGTGCAACTTCTCCCCCATCACCAACACCTCACACAGGAGTGGACTGCAGTATGCAGAAAGAAAGCAGACAGCAAAGGGGCAGGGGAAGACCAGCTTCCACAGCTCCCCTGCGGGCCATGACGTTTTACCCATGAAGCAGTCAACTGCTCTCAGTAACTGTTTACATAAGGCAGTGGGTATATGGAAATGCAGGATCCCAAGCAAAACACAGGGTTTACTTCAGAAAACCTCCGTGGCAGTTCTCAACAGCCATGACCTACTTGGACTCAACTCTCAGTAGGGGCCAGCACAAAAGTTTCCACCATGCTTTTGCTAAAATTCAAAGGGGAACAACATAAGGATGAGGAAAGCAGCTTAGAGAGAAGCCAAGAGGGTGCTGCAGACACTAGAAGTTTACATGGGTTCAAAGGCAGACTGCACAAGTACTAATGGAGCCCCTGGGAGTCACCCTAAGTAGGAAAACCAAAGCACGCTCAGGAAATTCCCTGCAGGGAAAGCAGCTGGAGGAAGGCATGTGCTGCTTCCCGCTCCTCCCTGCACATTCACCGATGGGTGGCTCTGGAGACAGCACTGAGCTACACAGGCTGTGGGTCCACTTGAGCACAGACACGCCTACAGCTACAGGGGGAATACCAGCACAGGGATCCTCGGCCCTTCTGGGCAACAATCACATCCAGCAGCTGCCCAACAGGACACTCGCTCTCCAGTTTTCGCAATAATAAATTGTCCTAAGGCTGTGATGGAGAGCAGATGCTGGGGACCTGCCGCATGGCCGAGTGGCCCACGAAGGCTGCGCACTGAGGGCCGGGCTGCGCGCGCAGAGCCCAGCCTGTCCAAGCTCGCAGTGCCCGCGTGGTGCTGCCACCGCCGCAGCAGCTCAACGCCACGCCAGGCCAGCGCAGCGCATCCACGCCAGGCCAGCGCAGCGCCGTGTGTCTGCATCAGGTCAGGAATTTTTAAGGTTTTGTTTGACAAACTAAATGGCTCCCTGGGGGTCAGTCCCAGGTCCCTGTCCTGAAATGGGACAGCCTTCCTCAATGGAGAGTCAAGGATCAGGAGCACTTCAGTCTCCTCTGCCATGCCACTGCCATGCTCAGGTGTGCTGGGCCAGGCTCTCCACAGAGCCAGCGCCCAGGGGAGCTGCCCCAAGGCAGCCCTCGTGCTCAGAGCCGCCAGCCTTGCCCAGCTCTCCCTGGCAGCTCGCACAGGCTGCTCGCCTGGGACATGCATGCGCTGCAACAACACGAGCTGCCGAGGCTGCTCGGCCCACGGGGCCGCAGTGCCCCCCAGCCAGCCCACGGGTTCCTACCTGCACTCGCAGCGCTTGTGCTCTGTGAAGGCCATCTCCACATAGGGCGCCTCTCCACTGGGCTTTATCTTCAGGAGCTGGAAGGGGAACAAAGGTTGTTTCCCGGCATGCGGAGCGGACGTGGCTGCGAGGGCTCACGAGGCACCGTCTCACCCCTCTGCCTCGGAGCGAGCTCGCTTGGCCCCAGGCTCTCAGGCAGGCGCATGTCTAACCTGCTCCTCAGCACCTCCAGCAGCCGGGCCTCCCGCTCTGCACCCTGCCTGGCCCCAGCAGCCCAGGAGCCCTCCTGGTGCCTTGCCCTGTCCTCAGCACTGAAATGCAAGTCCCCAGTTCTTGGGGTTTCCCAAGCTTACAGCAAATTTCCCACCTTTGCAGAGACATTTCACATATTTGACCACTTGGCATATTTTCCTTCTCTGACCTAAACATCCGCCCGAGGTCATGTTTCCTAGGCTATTCCCACTGCTGCTGCCTCCTCCAGGCCCCCTTTTCCACAGCTTCCTTGGCGCTTCCCAGCCTTCCCAGGGGAGCAGGATTTGCCCTGCACATGTCAGTCCACACTGCCCTGCCTGGAGTTTGAGTTGGACACCTGGGGACACTGCTCTGTGGCACAATCTCCACTACTACCCCACAGGAACACTGCCTAACCTGTCACTGCTGACCCACACACATCCACTGGATGCTTTCCACGGTGTGGAGCCTATCCCCAGAGCTTGGGAAATTGCCTCCTGTTTATTCCAGGGTTTTGCTCCACCTAACTCCAGATTGTTAGGAAATTCCAGTCCTGCCTTCCAACATGCTTTTGACCCTTTAGGGGTCACAAAAGGGCTGGTGACTTACTGCCAGCATGCAGGAGTCCATCACCCAGGGCAAAGCAGAGCTCTTTGTATGGCCCAGGGAAGGTCCAGCAAGGCAAGAGCATTCAGCAAGATGGACCATGCAGAGCCGGCAGGGAGCAAGGCTGGTAGTGCCAAGGCGTCACCTGCCCTTGTGAATGAGCCCCCAAAGCTGGCAGAGCGACCCTTCCGGTCTGGCACGAGTTTTGGTAGCCCCGAGTATACCAGGCTTCCCCATCCCCTGTTATCCGTGCTGCTACAACATCCTCAGGATGTGAGGCTGCAAGGTTTCACCTCCCAGCTCTTGGCAGGGAGCCCACTTCCCTCGCCAAGCCGGCACTCACCTGCATGGTGACCGTGCTCGTCTCCACAGGGACACAGAGCAGCCCCTCGTCACCACAGCAGCCTCCACAGCGCTGCAGGGACACGCAGGAGGGTCTGAAGATGTACTCCACCTCGTTGGGGAACTCGGTGATGACGTCCACCAGCTGCTCCCGAGGCCGGCAGAAACTGCGATTCCAGATCTCCCGAAAGGTCACAACTGGAAGGGACCCACAGGAGTATAAGGAGGCATCCAGAGAGCCCGACACCACCAGCCCAATCCTGACTGCAGCATCCAGTGCTGGGGCAGCAGCTCGCAAGGGCAGGCACAACCACCATGGCAGGGTCATATGCAGAGGCCCCCCTCGAGCATCCTCAACAAGCCTATCACTGCACTGGTTGTCACCACCTCCACCCAGGAGGGCTCTCTCCCTCCGCCTGCCAGCCCCATCTCCACTCCGTCTATCCCAGCCTCCCGCTCCCTCTCTGCAGGCAGTTCCTTGCTTCCTCCTGCTTCCCAAGCCTGGAAGGGGCAGTAAAGCAGCCCCAGAGCATAGGAAAGCCACCCCCACGGTCTTGGGGACCTGCTGCTGCCCCCTTCCCCCCGCAGCTTCCCGGCAGAGGGGAGGAGGTGAAGCCAAGTGTGTGGGGCCACC